ATTAAGTGACTTTAATTAGGTTTGTCAATCCCACAGGCTGGAAGGGTGGCAAGTCAGGCCTTCTACTCACTGTGCATTAGCAGTCCATCGCCTGAATGAGAGGGTACATTTTCTGAGCTGTGTGTGAGCAGCCTCCACACTTCCTAGGCAGAGATCTGTCCAGGGAGTCTGGGAGGCACCCAGTTATAAAGCTGCCCCTCTAAACTTGGCCCACTGCCCAAATGGCCACCTCCCAAAATCCCCCTGGGGCCAATTTTCAACAGGCTGCTCTGTAAAGCTGAGCAAGATAGTCAAAGCAGATGCATTCTTTATGCAAAGCCAGGCTCCAACCAAGATCTCTAGCCAAGTCTGTTTAACAACAAGCTTTCAACCCTTCTGGCAACAAAAAATGAGGGAAAGCAATGATTACCTATGCAATCAGAAATATTCACTTTGGAGATGCCAAAAGAGCTAAGCAGGTATGTCAAGGGGAAGGGAGAAAACTTTCCACTGCTCAGGAAAGAGGAGGTTCACCTATCATGTGCTCGGACAGCACAGATCAGTGAGGGTGTAGGAGGAACCCAAATAGCTCACTCTGCCTTCACTTTGGCCATGTTGCCTACAGAGAGGAGAAGAAGACTCTTCTAGCCTTGGGAACTCTGCTTCCTTTCTCCATCCATAGCAAAAGCTTTCAGGTTGTGGAAGCAGAGCAGCTTCTATGTTTGTTAGAACTCTGGCCCCTGCAGTCTTGGCAATAATGTGACATGGACCTTGCTTTCCCTCAGTCCCAAAGTGCCCGTCACCTGGTGCCTGTTACAACCTTCTCTTAGTCCCAAAATGACTAGGCCACCCGGTAGGTACTAGAACCCAAGCTGATGCCATAGCTGACTCTGGAGAGTAGCTTGATGTCTGCACCTTTGGGAAACTCAGCAGTAAAGAGTGGCTGGGCCAGACTCAGAGTTGTGAGGAAGCCTGACCCATCTCCAGCAGGGAGAAGGTAAGCGGAGCCAGGACCAACCTCTTCCCCTAAGGTGAAGGGACTAGGAACCACCCAAAGTAGAGAACCTTAAATCTACTTGGGCCTGGTGGCCACCTGATCTCTTGGCCAGTGCGCCATAGAAAAGGAACCCCTGGGCTGGTCCTACTGGACCCCCCACATCACCCACTACGCCAGATCCCATTCCCAGACTGGCTCTGCTGCACCCTTGTCCTCTGCACACCCTGCTGTGGCCCATCTCCATCCCACCTGCCCCTTCCCTGAGCCTCTCAGTGGGGCACATTGAGGAAGTGGTGGCCCCTGGGTGGACAGAGGCAGCGTCATGGGTTCACTGTGCCATGGGAGTGAGTCTTCCATGATTGTTATGAGTCTTCCTGACTCAAAATATGTGCAATTCCCAGCGTCAAACCAATGCTTTTAAACAGCAGCTGCCACTGCCATCGCCTCGCAGAACACTTCAGAAACTCTTCTATTCAGAGACCAGCCCTGGCTTACGTCATCCCACCCATGCTAAGAGGCCCAGTGGCTGTTGAGAACTTTGCAGCTTTCGTCTCTAAGTAATAAAGGGTGAAGGCAGATGGAGGGGGAGGCACGGCCCCTGGAGGGGGCGGCAGGGGTTTTCTTCCTGCCCTGAGCCACAAGCGTTGCCTTGCTGTGCTCCTCAGGTCCTCCTGGAAGGTGCACTGCTGCAGCTCAGCACTGTAGCAGCGCCATACCTACCTGGCCCTTTGCCAGTGGACAACACCTTAGGAGAGAATAACCTGGGGTGAAGAATGAGGAGGGTAGGCTGCCAGGGGCCCTCGCCCGCCTTCATGACACTTCCACGTAGGAACCTGGCTTTTTGTTTCTTTGTTGGGGGTTCTAGAATTGAACCCAGGGAGTGCTGAGCTATTTCTTCCACTCTTCTTAAATTTTGTTTTGAGAGAGTCTTGCTAAATTGCCCAGAATGACCTCGAACTTGAGATCCTCCTGCCTCAGCCTCATGAGTAGCTGGAATTACAGGTGTATGCACTGATGCACTTTCTGCTCACCCCTCTGAGTAGCTCTAAGTGCCTGTTCTCTTGCAAACACGTCCCTAATGCCTATTTCTGCTTTAAAGAAAACAGGAGAGCAGTACTAGGGCCCTGGATTTCCAGGTGAGGGTCCCAGCCTGGGCTCTGTCCAGGTTACACAGCTCAAACAAGAACCCACCTGTGGTCCGTGCTCCGCTGTAGAGATCAGGGAGACGGCCCTGCCCCTGCCAAGGCTCAAGGAGCCCGTCGGTAATGGTGTGCATGTGCAGGCGTGCCACATTTGCAGAAGTCCTCTCATGTGGCCTTGTCTCTGCCTCTCTTCATTTTTCCCCATCCTGCTCCTGATCCCACGTTATTTAACCTCAAAGAGCTCTTGGATTTTGTCCTTCAGGAAGCCTACGGTAGCCCCCATTTCCGATGAAATTGCTCTTCTGACTGCCTCCACCAGTCTCAACAGTCATCACCTCCCTCCACGCCCCTCCCATGGAGCAGAACAAGCCCTGCCCGCCCTGTTCCTGCTGCCCTGTCCTTCACCCAAATTCCTTCCCCCACCGTAGTCTGTCCACCCCACGCCCAAATCCCGGAGTGCTACCCCAGCTTCAAAGTTGATTTCGAGCGTGGCACAGTGGCCCACACAACTCAGGAGGCTGAAGCAGGAGGCTTACGAGTTCCAGGTCAGCCTGGATAAATAGCACTCACCTCTTCTACTTATTCTGCTCTGATGGACACCAGCGCCATCTCTCTCCTGGACAGCGAGCAGCCTGAGTGCAGTGCCGCTGCCTGATTTCCCTTAAGATCTGGTCGGCTTAAAGCTGGGCCCAACACGGAGCAGCTGGGTCTGAAATGCAGCCAGGCCACCCCCAGGTGGAGATGAGACCTCCTCTCAGGGCCTGAGCTCTGAGGGTGGGTGGCTGCATGCTGTCGGCGCTCACACACCCTCCTCCAGAGCCCCAAAGTGTCCCCAGAGGAGGACTGGACCTCCTCCTTCCACACCCAGCCAGCCGCCACTGCTCCTTGCTGATCTGTTCTCTCTGTCCCCCCCCATGGTGTCCCTGGCTGAGAGGGACCAAGGGGGCTAACCATGGACACCGCAGGTTCGGGCATTTCTTCTTTTAATCAGAGCACATGTGGGCCCACTTGTGACTTTCAGACAAAAAGGGCTGTTTGTGACCAGATTCACAAGATGAGTGAAGACCCGGAATTGGGAAATCGTTCAGTTGAGAGTAATCACAAAGCTGCTGCTCAGAGAAGAGTTCAGTTTTGACTTCAAGGCTTGCTTTCCTCCAGAGCGGTGTCTGTCCTTTCTATGCCGTGACCGGGGCCGTCTGCTTGTGGCGGCATCGGGCCTTTCCGCCCGGGGTCCAGTCTGCTCACCCGCTAAAGCTTTGTTCCTTTGATGCAAATCGACGTGAGCACAGGCTCCTTCCCCTCACAGGGCTGCTGTGCCCTGGCCTCCCTCCACAGACAGGCCGTTTCTTCTCATCTTTGTCCTCTCCTTGCCCTGCCTTTTTCACACTGTCGGTCCCACCGGTGCTCGGCTTTCCTCGTGCTGTCTGCTCTCCAGTCTCTCCCTGCCTATCTCTCTCTGTCTGTCTCTCTGTCTCTCTCTGTCGCTTGTCTGTGTGTCTCTGATTGTCCCTGTCCAGCTGTCCTCTGGCCTGGCTGTCCCTGTCTCTCTATCTCTCCATTTCTCTGTCTGTCTCTATCTCCTGTTTTCCTAACAGCTTTAGCAAGCTATAATTTACATACCATTTTAAGTACACAAGTCAATGACTTTTAGCAAATTTATAGAATTGTACAAAGAGTACTACAATCCAATTTTAGAACATTTCTATCACCCCAAAAAGAACCCTCGTGCTTGTTTGCATTCAATATTATTCCTGTTCCCAGCCCCAGGCAACCATTAATCTGTTTTCTGTCTCTGCAGATCTGCCATTCTAGATGTTTCCTATGCACAGAATCCTTCGCAACAAGCTCTTTAACTTACTGTCTGCCTTCTTGAACTTAGCATAATGTTTCTGAGATCCATCTATTTTATAGCATGTCTCTTGCTCCCTTCTTATTTATTGCTTTATACCACATGTTCTCTAGCTAGTCACCAATTGATGGGCCTGGCTTCCCTCTCAGTGTTTTAACATCCACACCAGAGACTGCGCACTAGTCCTCAGATCTTTCTGGAACAAACTTCTGAAGACTGGGAAAGGTTTTTGGTGTCTCAGGACATTCTTGCTTTATCACAGGAAAGAGCTGCTTGACTGATAGCTTTCCAGGACAGTGATTCCTCAGAAAACAAATGAACCAAAGATATTTTTCGGTTTATCTCACTCTAAGCTTTCCCCAGCCACAGTGTTAGCAACTGGCTCTCCAAAGCTATGAAAGAACTCAAAGAAGCATTACCTCAGGGCATTGCTGCTAGTGCTTTATGGCCCTAGGTTAGTTACAAACACTCCAGAGGTAATAGTTGAATCATTTAATATTTAACAACTAATTGGGAAACTGCACCTGATGCTGGACAAAAGCCAGGATGCCAGAGACCCTTTGGTTGCTGGCTAATATGGAAACTCAAGGGAAACCGGAGAAGGAATCTGATCGTCTGAAGCACGGAGCAGGGAGCACTCAGAGGACAGCAGGTCTTTACCAGCTGATGCAGAAGCATTTTAATCTTCAGTAATGACCTCAGCCCTGTCGATAAGCACAAGCTGAACGTCAAGCTCCCCACATGAGGTGTGCCTACCCTGTTCACCCACAAAGCAAAGAAAGAGGCCTCCTTGGGTTATGACAGAGTCCTCGTCTCAGGCCCTAAATTTTAAATTGGTTTTAAGGCCTCGGGATGGAGTAGTGCTTCAGAAAGGGAGGTGCTCTGTGCTAGAGAAGTCGGGGAGAGGTCGCCTGTTGTCCTTTGGCTATGGCCCTCCCGTTGGGTAAGGCTGATAAAACTGAAGTTCTGAGCCAGGCCATCAGTGGTGACCAAGCCAGGTTGTCCTCACACACATTCCTCTTGACACGGACAGGTTCTGGCTGCAGATGGTCGCGTGGTGGGGGCAAGGATCCAGAGCCACCGTGGCTTTTGACAATATCTCCATCAGTCTGGACTGCTACCTCACCAGTGAGTTTCCCCGACACCTGGTACTTTGCCCTCCAAACCCAAAAACCCATGGCCTCACTACCCCTCCTCAACCTAAGCCCTATTTTCTCTCCCACCTTCCCCAGTGCAAACTTCTATCTCCCCTGACATTGAGTCTCACTTAACTCAGCCTGTGGGTTCTTCTCTATTCCAGTCGGTGGGGAGGACAAGATGCCCCAGAGTGAAGAACCCAAATCAAGAAATCTATTTGAGAGGAACACAAACAAGGAGCCCAAATCCTTGGACAGCAGACCAAGGCATTTGCCTGTCTTCAACCCTACAGGTAAGAAAGAGTTCAGTTCACAAACTTAAGCCATGTGGTTTCTTGGTGTACAAGGCAGAAGAAAGATACGTGCTGTAACTGCAGTGGGGAGCTGCGCATAAAGACTTAAATGGTCAACTTTAGGAAGACTATCACCTGTTTTCTGGCTATGGGGTCCCAAGAGGAAGCCTTATGACTCTCACATTGTCCAAGCACTGGAATCTACTGGAAACTGTGCAAAGGAACAAGTTCCCCCTACACCTAAGAAAGCCCAGAATCCACACAAACAGGAGAACAACACTGCTAATCCTTTCTCAAGCTACTTCCTTGAAATCCCCACTTATCAAAGAAAGCAAATCTTACTATCAGTTTTCCTCTCCTCATAAAGAAGGTTGAGGCCAAGGACAAGGCTATCTGTTGCTTTATAGTGGGCCACCACATCACAGGCGAGTTCAGTTCAACGCACTTCCCCAGAGCTGGATCCCCATCAGAGTAGTTGTGATCTGCAAACCCTAGCGGGGGAGATTCATTAGGAGGCTCCTGCTGCTTTAAACACAGACTTCTTCAGTCTCTGGCTATAAACCATAGGTGTGACTTCTCAGCTACTCTTCCTGTCAAGAGAAAGCTCCTACAATCCATCTCCAAACCTACCCCCTCCCCAGAAGAACCAGTCAAGACCTCCTAGCCCTACTGCAGCAAGCCAAAGGGCTCCCCTAGGGGGCCCTGGTGCCTGGACACGCGAGGCTTCTTCAGACATGAGAGGTGTACAGGGAGCAGTCCACTCACACTACTTTTTCCTATAAAGTAAGTCTTTATTAAAATAAAGACAGATGAAGGACGTCTCTAATTTCTACTCACAGTGTAAAACCTGTTTGGTACAAAGTATTTTTTAAAAGCTAGATGCTTTGCCACCAACGTTTCTGGCTCTCACTTCCTAGCCCAGTTTGTTTGTTTAGTCTTTGGAGGAGTTTTCCTGTCCCTTGAAAAGCTCCCTCAATACTGACATTCACCCCTTCCTGATTCCTGCCTGCCTCATTCCAGCTGCCCATCCAATGCAAAGAATTAGTTGCTTTTCTCACTCTACCCCTTTCCTCTTCCCCTTCACCCTAACCAGAACCCGCCTCTAGAATCCTTCCACTTCTCCATACAAGGATCCCCGCCACAGAACTGCCAGCTCTGTTTCATGGGTGATTCATGAAACATCCAACCTGAGGGGCGCAGCCTTCTAACTTTCTATCCAGAGTCCCTTCCTGTCACCAACCCCAATGATTCACCTCCACTTACTCCATGGCCCTTGGCCAACTACTACCTTCTTGTGATAAATTCAGGAAATTTACAAATATAAAAATTCAAGGAAGAGGCCAAATATCCCTTCTGAGTGAGCTAAGAAAAACCTGATGGTAAATCCCCATCCCCCAGCATAAGCACTGGCCCTGATTACATAGCAGGGACTCCAGAAACAACTATTGATTGACTGGTGGGCGGCTGGAAGCTTGAGCTGGGATCTCAGATGTCAGCAGCCGGCAGCCCTGCGGCCAGCATTTAGGAAACAGCCATGCACCCTGCCGGAGTCTGGGTTTATTGCCACATAATTCCCACTGTCCCTAAAAGGCTAATCGATAAGGGCCTGCCCAATGGCCACTCAAACTAATGAAATCACAGAGCGGCTCAAAAGCGGTGATGACTCCCTCACCACCTCCAAATAGAATTAGAAGCAAGCAGCTGCTTGCGGGCTAGAGACGACTCCAGCTGAAATTCAGCCCTCTACTGAGTAACTTCACCCCTATTCCCTGACCCCCTCTGCCCTCGAAGGGACACCTGAGCAAGTGGCTACAGATCAGGGTTCTGCCCCCCTTCTGGGCCACTCCTACTCAAAAGAAAGGACACTGAGCCAACTAAGCCCCTGGGCAGCCTTGGGATATACACCAGCTACCTGATGTTTCTCGGGAAGGCTCTGGGAGACTGAATAAGGAGCCTCTACATTCAGGAACCTAGTGCCACATCGAGAAGCACTTTAGGTAATGGAGAAGTTGGGCCAGGCCACGCATACCCTCCCCATGCTGTGTCTTAGTGGTAGGAGGCAACACTCCATCATGTTTTAGGTCCCTAGCCCCATGTCACTGTAGATCCCTATACTGTGTGTGCAGGTTAGGGTATCTCTGTTCTCTTTGGGAGGATTTCCCAGGGACAGGGCCGTCTTTCCTCCCTGGACTCAGCCTCATGGTAGGGAGAGCAGCCCCACTGGCCCTGGCCTCACCTAGCTTTCATCTGGACCCCCTGCGCTCCTTGCACACTTCCTCTGTGGCTGGTTCTGTACTCAGATGCTGAAAAGAACAAGACACGGGTCTGGAGCTCAGAGAATTCCCATTCTCAAAGAGGAGAGGGCAGTTCGACAAGTGCTAGAATTAGAACAGTGTACCCGCAGCAGAGAGAAAAGGAGCCTCCTGGAGAAGGCGAAGTCCAGGCAGACTCCCAAAGGCCAAGGCCAGGGCTCCCTCCACTCAGTAATAATCACCCAGCAAATGCATGTGCCTGGCACCTCTGCTGTGCCCAGTGCTGTGCATGCCGATAATATGGCTGAGGCTGACCAGTACTCACTGTTCTGCAGCTTCTAATCCACAGGAGAAAAGCCTGTGACCAGGCAGGCTGGGCCTGCTAGGCCAAGCTTAAGTCAAGCTCGGAGCTTTTAGGTGAGACGGTCCCTGGAGAAAGTCACAGGGCTGGGGATGGAGCCAGAAGGGAGCATTTCTGAACATTGACCATGCGGTTTCACACATCCTCCCACGGGCTCAGGGCAGTAGCTCTGTTCTCATCCCAAGGAGGAAGGAAATGGTGTAAAGGGATTTAAGAGTCCCATGACTGGTAGGGAGTGGGGCCAGGATGTGAACCTAAAGTCTACATTCTTTCATTCAGCTAAGCTACTGCTAGCTAGGAAAGAAAGCCTCCAATCTGAGATAAACACTAAAAAAGGAAAAGAGGTAGGGAAAGAGACCCAGATAAGAAGCCCAACATGAACAGTAAACAAATCAACTCCCAACCCCTTGACTAAGAATCAAGGAGACAAGATAATACAATTTTCCTTCCAAAGTTCAGCGCTGTCAATTTCTGCTGAGCTGGAACAGGGTGGCTAGTGGCATTTCACCTCTCGTCCAGGCAGGTCTCAGAGCAGCTCCCAGACACATAAAGGTCACACAAGGTCTTTTGAAAACGGTTACTCACAAAGCTTCCAAACTTTGCTAAATGCCCTCATGTCCCCTGAGCCTTTGGGCCTGACTGCCCTGCTCTGGGAAAGGTAGCCCGAAACCCCGGGACAGCCAGGCAGGGAGAAGCATGTTCACCTAAGTCTCACAGCATTCTCGGAAGCTCTGAGTCACTTTAGCTAATCAGATGAAGAACCTGGAGGAGAAAATGGGGTAAGTATTAAGTCCAGGGAAATTACATTTGTCAGCTTTGCACATGCAATTACGCTAACCAAATGGTTAGAATAATGCAATCACAGAGCTGCAGAGCACTCTCGTGCGCACTCTCTCTCCCTCCCTCCCTCCTTCTCTCCTTCCCTCCCCCTCTGTCTTTCTCCCTCTCTCCCATTATTCTATCCCTTCATCCTCCCCTTCTTCCCTGTCTTATCTCTGTCTCCATCTCCTCCCCTGGTAATGAATGGCATTAGAGGTGAGGAGCTGCAGACTCTGCCACTTGTCCTCCCCACAAAGCTCAGGTGCCGGCCAGCAGGCCTCTGGGGTCCAATACCCCATACCCTTTCCTTAAAGCTCAGATATTACATAGGGAAGGCCAAGGGGAATCAGCTCCGCTCACATGAGAACCCAGTTCCACAATTCTAACTTCAGAATCTTGGCACCAAAACCACAGATTTGCCTCTGAATTATCTAGTTATAGGTTGGCCTACCATTTTCTGAGTGTACATCTCTTGCCACGCAGGGAGAAAAGCAATTAAAAGCATGCAGAACTCCACAAAGAGCACTGGACTAAGAGACAGAGCCTCTGTGTTGGGCCTGGTTGGGTTGTACTAGCAACCTCAGATCTCAGGCCTGTTCAGCTAACCTCACACAGCTCACCTCTTGGGGTGTGCCGGCAAGCCTGGTTCCCGTAATGACACTACTGTGAGAGGGGCTTGTGTGAACACACAGGAGGGCAGGAAACTGGTGTTCGTAAAAGCTCAAGGTTTGAAGACAGTCTCCAAGTCCTTCCCATTCCCTTCTCCGTGACTGTGAGAGCTGAAGGGATCTGGTCTAAGGAGCCATCACTTCGTTTGGCCCATCTCCCCAATTAACCTGTGGCCCAGCTAATGTGCCCAGAAGTCAGGGTGACAGACTGTCCATTTCCACACATGCTCCTATGATTCAAGAACAGATGCCAATTCCAATGAGAAAGTTTTATGTGTTTCATATAAATTGATTGAGTCTATTTCTGCTAAATGCATTATCCATTCACCACAGAACAACTATTAGAGTTAATAGAATTTGTAACTAGAGCCATTATGTTGCAAGCACACCCTTCTAGGGATGACGGCATTGTTGGAAGGCAGGCTTTGTGGGGCCCGCCCTCCCTCAGGCCCTGGCTTCATGCCCGCGAGTGAGTGGGTGGTTGAGGGTTCCTTTGTTTCTCCCAGAGCCCTCAGCATCCTGATCCCCCGCAACTCTGCCTTGTTCATTTCAGTAGCACAACACGACAAGGAAGGCCCTTTTCCTTCTGATTCACCCCATCCTAAATAAATAGTGTATTCTGATCCAATTCCAAAACCTCCCGTCATAGTTTAATTTATTGACACTGCTGACAGTCCCATGCCAGCCTGGGCCGTGGGGAGTTGGAAGAAGCCAGAATTCCTTCTGTAGCTGCAGCTCTTCACTGAATGCCAGTTTTAGAGGTAGGAAGTCTCAAAACATGAGAGGTCAAGAGACAAGGCAGGGTAGGAACCCCTGTGGAGACTGAGTTGTCATTGACAGCCTCTCCTCCCCTGCTTAATTACTGACAATCCTCCAGGATTCCTCAGTGTAGCAGGGAGC